TATTTATTTTTATTTGAGGAGGTTACAAACGGACTTGTTAATGGAAAATCATATGAAGCTGTACGTTTGAATCAGGAGCGTTATCTGAATTACACAACGGCGGATCATACTTCAAACACAACATACTTTAAAAACGTTTTCAGGAATTCACGTTCGGTTCAGGAAAACAAAAACTTTTAATAAAGCTAGTAGTAAGAACCGCAGAAAGCATTTTATAATTCGGTAAAATTATAAAAGCAGGCAAATTGTTGACGTTCTGGTATAAAAATACTCAATTTTCACAACAGTTTGTGACCAAAGGAAAATCCACATACAATACAGGAATTATATTTCCAAAAGCAGAAAATTTTTCTTTGGTAATGAGTGAGCAGGATTAATTGGAGATTATTCGATAGTCTCATTCTTTCTGCCGCATTGATTAAACGGTGCTTAAAATGGTTAAAATGTCGGTTATAGATAACGGTGCCTCGGTACACTTTTTGTACTAGCGCGAGGGTTTTTGAACCAAATTCTTAATAACTGTTGGATAGATCCGGAAGGGCCTCAACCATAAAAATATCTCAAAAATTGTTGGTCGTGATTTTTTATAAAAATTTATTTTTTTGTAAAGATTATAGAGGAACTAATTTTTTTGCGAAAACTAAAAAAAAAACTGATCCAAGTACACTTAGTACTACGTAATAGTTATGACTTCTCAAAACAGAAAAATACAAGTAGGTCCTCAATATGTAACAACACTACTAACATCAAATTTACGTTTTTCATGTTACAAAACCCACAAATAAATCTATCAAAAAAATAAAATTAATCTTTGAACACCCTGTACCTCGGTAAGCAAGGCCCTGTGGACTTTTTTTCTTAAAAAGACTGAGAAATCTCCATGTAAAATATTCGAAATTTATTAAAAGAAGACCCGGAATCAAAGAACGTTTTTATTAATTAGGAGTTAAAAGTGAACAGCAATCATATTACAAAGAAACTGTTCTTTCAACGGATGTATCTGCGCAAAATCCTTAGAATTAGTAACTGAGAAATAAAACATAATTGGTTCGCAATTGGATTTAAGTAAGTAATATTTAAAAATTTACTTAATTTATTCAGAAAAGTCAACGAAAGCAGTCATACAGTGGTCTAGGTTATCGTTTTTGGTCGCGATCAACTCGCAGTTCTTTATTAAAATTTGGTATACAGTAGTTTTCGAGGGTGACAAATTTGATTATCAAGTTAGTTTTAAGTCACTTCATAAAGGTACCTTCCGCGGCAAATGATTCGCTTTAAATCGACCTAACTGTTGGTTGGTATAAGATCAACGGTTTTTGAGATATTTTCAATTAAAGTAACCAGTGCGATACATTAATAGAAAAAACTGTATATTTGTGGACAAAATAAAAAATTTCAATAAACCAAAATACACTAATTAAACTTCTAATAAATCTAAGACTGATTAGCTTTTGACAAAAGTTGTTATAAATGACGTTCATTAACTTCATTGCATTTAATTACATGGCTATTTAAAGATTTTCAAATGCAGTGAGAAATGAACTGGGCCTCCGTGCTGAGTCAATGTTAGTTTTTGCAATTACGAAATGCAAAAATAGTGTATTTAAAAATCCAAAAAATATTATGATACAAAACCTGCTAATAGTTAATTTCTACAGCTGTATTTTACAAACTTCTGTATTTTCTGCCAAATTGAGACAGTTGTGAAAAAATTTAAGAAATATTTCTGAGAAACGTTTCCCTAATGTTTTTTTCGATGTCAGGCTTTGTTCAATTTTTAATACATAATTGTATTTTTAAAACTTTAAAGGTTTTCTTACTTTGAAGAATAAAAACTGTTATTTATTTGGAATTGATCACGCAGTAAGCTTTAAATTATCAATGTACAATCCCTCGTAAGTTAATTGACAATACATTTACTTGGCAAATGGTGAAAACATATTGGCGGGGCATGCAAATTATGAATTAAAAATAGATCCAATTATTTGTATAACATGTATGTAACATTAAACTGATAACGGTTTTCAAAACAAACGCCTCCGCTTATCAGTTCGTTCCAGAGACATGGTCGCGAAATCGGGTATAAATCCAGGCAAAACTGCTAAATTCTTGTACAATTTACATATTTATGATAGACTAACTGGCTTTCATCTTAGTGGTGATAGAGTGAACACGCAGAAAAAAATGAGCAGCAGACTTTTCCAATACTTAACGCAGCCAGCTCATGGAGTTGAAACCAAGAAAAATGCAGCGTATACGTAAGTCATGTTTAGTTGAATACTAAGAGAAGCTCATCAATCTGGAATCTTCCTAAATCAAAGTTTACTTAAAGGTTTTCTCCTTGAATAATTAACAAATTGTACGTACTAAACGCAAGTGTTCATTAGCAAGTGCAAAGTCTTTGAGATGCATGTTGCTTTAGAAAAGGGCCGGTTTTCAAATATTCTAAAAAATGTGAAAGCCAACTAGTATTTTTATTCCAGTTTTTACCTTGTAGTAGCTGAAAATAGCAACTATTTAACAAAAGCCAATAATGATATAAAATAAAAAAGAAGTATTTTAAAATTAACGTGTTTATAATATAATATTGGTTACTCCGATCCATTTTATACTCATTAAAATAATGTTTATTTAATATATTGAATTATCCAAGTTATTAACAGTTGAACTACATGATTACCTATGCAATACAACGCGCAACATTGGGTTTTAAAAAGTATTATTGTATTGACGGCAAAACCCTGTACCACGGGAGAGACATTTTTAAAATGTTTTTGTAATGTACAGGGTGTGTTTAGTTACTCGGTTAGAATCAATGTTGCATTTTTTAAATATAATTTTGTTAAAAACGATTACGATACGATTCAAAATTGGCGTCATTCCTTCTAAGGGGTGATAGAGGCTCCCTTGGGGAGTACTAGAAAATTTCTAGAAGATATTAACAGTTGAAGATCGAATTTTAACTTTGTTATTAAGCATTATTTTGAAATTGTTCCATGTTTAATTGGTAGCATATTGGAATACTACGAAAAAATTACGCTCTTTGCTTCAAATCACAAAAATTTGCGATATCAAAAAAGTACTCTTCTACAATTTTTTGATGAAAAGGTACAGCGGAAATGATGTTTTTTGTCATTAACAGATAGTTACAGGTGGATTGCCCTTGTCCATAATAACAATAATTTGTCAAACTTTGACTTACTTTGAATTTCCTTTTACGAATTTGCTGATCTGCGATTAGTTCAGGGGAAATGCTACAGTAACATAGCAAAAGCTGAAAGAACTCACGCCAACAAAGGGCGAGGAGAGTGGTTCCAGGAAGATAGTGACGGCAATAGATGTTCAGGTTCCAGGCACAGAGGAACAAGTATTGGACATAACCGAATCAGGTCCTTCCAGGGGCACTCAGAGCACAATAACTGACACTTTACCAAGCATCAAATAAATACTGAGGAAGGGCTACGTTCCT